AATCCATCAGCAAGCCCCAGGGATCAGCTATGCTTGAATAAACCTTGTTCCTAAAGACCTGATTGATAAAAACTCCACAACCTCCTCACATGTCTTGTTTCATCATTTTGCTACCCCTACCATCATAGAGGTGTATTTTCATTTCCTAGAGTTTCGTTTGTTTCAATTTAATCAGTTATTTCTCATTCATCATGGACATGAAAAAGGATTTATTTCCTCCTTCCAGAAAGCTCTCATGGATATTGGGGGATGTTTTGGGTTTTGTTTTATTTGTTTGTTGGTTGGTTTTGGGTTTTGTTTTTGTTTTTCTTTTTCTTTTGTTTTGTTTTTGTTTGTTTGTTTTGTTGGGTTTTTGGTTGGTTGGTTGGTTGGTTGGTTTGTTTGGGTTTTTTTTTTGGTTTTTGGTTTTTTATGTTTTTTTTTGTCAGGGGTGGTGGTTATTTTTTACACTCTCTGAAAACGTTTGAAGATGTTTTTCTCTGGCCTTTCTCTTTAGGTCCATGATCCCACATTTTTCAGTCCGTCTTGTTTCCTGTGATAATTTCACTTGCTGTCCTGTAGAAGCTCTCAGGTGTTCCAGATGGCTGTGCAGTGGGGGCCCCATACCAGACACTGCTCCAGCTGTGATCTGCCAGCTCTAACTAGAGCAAAAAGATTATTTCATCTCTCTTGTTTGTACATCCCTGTATGATTCTTGCCTTTTTTACAACAGCCTGATGTTGTTGACTCATCTTCACTTCCTGATCTAGAATAACCTCTAGCTATTCCTGCTTTGCTGTGTGTCCCCTGCCCTGTATTTGTATAATTAAATGTAGTTCCTTCCCCTTAACATTATTGAATTTCACCCTGTTTTATCAGAACATTTCTCCAGTGTAGCCAGGTCACTGTGAAGTCTGTTTCACAGCCAATTTTAGCTTGAAGTCCTCAGAAAGCTGAACAGGTAAGACCTGAATTCTATCAGCCACCCCACTTAAAATACATGTCATTGCAAAAACTCTCTCAATGATTTTTGAGTGGTCTCGGGAATCCAGAGAGGTCCCAGCTGACTGGAACCTGGTGAATGTTGTCCCGATTTTCAAGAAGGAGGACCCTGAAAACTACAGGCCTGTCAGTCTCACTTCAGTGCCTGGTAAAGTTATGGAGAAGATTATTCTCAGAGGTATTGAAAAACACTTGAAAGGCAATGCAGACATTGGTTACAGTCAGCATGGCTTCATGAGAGGAAAGTCCTGCTTACCAAACCTAATTTCCTTTTATGAAAAGGTAACCCATCTAGTTGATCAAGGGAAGCCAGTTGATGTCATCTTTTTGTATTCCAGTAAAGCTTTCGATACTGTCTCTCACAGTATCCTTCTGGACAAAATGTCCAACCCGCAGCTGGATAAGCACACCATGTGATGGGTGAGCAATTGGCTCACAGGTGGAGCACAGAGGGTGATAGGGAATGGGATGACATCAGACTGGTGACCTGTCACTAGTGGGGTTCCACAGGGCTCAGTCTTAGGCCCTGTGCTCTTCCACATCTTCATAAAGGAATTGGATGCAGGACTAGAAGGGATACTGAGCAAGTTTGCAGATGACACAAAACTGAGAGGAGCTGTTGGCTCCCTCGAAGGCTGGGAGGCCTTGCAGAGAGATCTCGACAAATGAGAGGACTGGACATCACCAACCATAGGAAGTTCAACAAGGGAAAGTGCTGGATTCTGCACCTGGGATGGGGCAACCCTGGTACAGACAGACTGGGGAATGAGATGCTGGAAAGCAGCTCTGCAGAAAGGGACCTGGTGGTCTTGGTCAATGCAAGTTGAATATGAGTCAGCAGTGCCCTGGCAGCCAGGAGGGCCAACTGTGTCCTGGGGGGCATCAGGCAAAGCATCACCAGCCAGTCAAGGAAGGGCTGGTGTCCCACTCTACTCTGAGCTGGGTACCCTGAATATTGTGTGCAGTTTTGGGTGCCACAATATAAGAAAGATATTAAGCTACTGGAGAGGGTCCAAAGGAGAGCAACAAAGATGGTGAAGGGCCTTGAGGGGAAGCTGTATGAGGAGTGGCTGAGGTCACTTGGTCTCTTCAGCCTGGAGAAGAGGAGACTGAGGGAAGACCTCATTGCAGTCTACAACTTCCTTGTGAGGGGAGGAAGGCAAGCACTGATCTCTTCTCTCTGGTGACCAGTGACAGAACCCTAGGGAATGGCCTGAAGTTGTGTCCAGGGAGTTTTAGGTTGGATATTAGAAAAAGGTTCTTCACCCAGAGGGTGGTTGGGCACTGGAACAGGCTCCCCGGTCACAGCATCAAGCCTGACAGAGTTCAAGAAGTGTTTGAATGATACTCTCCAGCACATGGTGTGACTCTTGGGGGTGGTCCTGTGCATGGCCAGGACTTGGACTCGATGATCCTTATGAGTCCCTTGCAACTCAGTATTTGAATTGGGTCTGCCTGAGCTGGAGTTCATTTCCCCACAGTATTCCTCACAGTGCTGAGCTTTGCATTGGTAGCTAGAAGGGTGTTGATAACACACTGGTGTTTTGGCTACTGCTGAGCACAGCACCAACACTGTAACATTCCTTCCTCAGTTGAGGGCAAGATCCTGGGAGGGAACACAAGCAGGCCAGCTGACCCAAACTGTCCAAAGGGATATTCCATACCATATGATGTCAGCTCAGACAGAAAAGCTAAGGCAAGGAGCAGGAAGGCAGGCATTCATTGTCTCCAGTGGCTGCCTGCTGAGGAACTGTTAACACGTGCTGAAGCCCTGCTTCTCAGGAGCGGCTGACCATTGCTGCTCATGGGAAGTAGAGAATAAACCCTGCTATATTTTGCTTTGCTTTGCTTTTGCGCGTGCAAGCTTCCACTTTGCTTTTGCTTTAAATAAACTGCCTTATCCCAACACACAAATTGTTTTTTGACCTTACTCTCTCCCCTGTCTGGCTGGGAAGGGGAGTGATAGAGCAGCTGGGTGGGCACCTGGCATCTAGCCAAGGTCAACCCACCACAGCATTGAATCATATTCTGTGATTCTGTGTGCTGGTTTTGTCTGGGGTAGAGTTAATTTTTTTCACAGTGGTTAGTATGGGGCTATGTTTTGGATTTGTGCTGAATACAGTGATGATAATTTAGAGATGCTTTTGTTATTCCTGAGGAGTGCTTACATAGCGCTGCTTTACATAAGGCTTTCTCTGCTTCTCGTATTACCATGCTGGCAAGGAGTTTGGGGGAGCATGGGAATTTGGGAGGAGATACAACCAGGACAAGTGACCCCAACTGACCCGTACCATATGACATTATGCTCAGTATATAAAGTGGGGGGAAGAACGAGGAAGGGGGGGGACATTTGAAGTGATGGCATTTGTCTTCCCAAGTAACCATAATGCATGATGGGGCCCTGCTCTCCTGGAGATGGCTGAACACCTGCCTGCCCATGGGAAGCAGTGAATTAATTCCTCATTTTGCTTTATTCGTGTGCGAGGCCTTTGCTTTCCTTATTAAATTGTCTTTACCTCAACCCGTGATTTTCTGGCTTTTATCCTTTCTAATTCTCCCTCCAATCCTGTTGGTGGGGGAGTGAGCAAGCAGCTGTGTGGTCCTCAGTTTCTGGCTGGAGTTAAACCATGACAGAGGGTCACCTAAGCTGACTTGATGTCTGGGTGTTAAAGCTCTGCATGTTTGTCTACCCTTTCCTTTGTGGAGAAACATGAGTGATCACAATTCATCTGACCAGGTTTAGTCACTTACCAGTGTCTTAGAAGAACTACACTCTAAGTGTGTCCTTTCATCTTCAGTGTCTCCAAAAAGAGTCTAAGGAACTAAACTTCTATATCTAGGTTATTGGCATCTAAAGTTATATGGGATATATCTCACCTCCAGCCCTTCTCCTGGTGGAAATACAAGAGATTGCATATACTATTTGTTCTTAATAGGTACATTCTGGATGTAACTCATCTCCTGAGTATTTTCATTGTGATTGTTTGTTTCAGCATTGAATGGAAGTTAAATGATTTGGTCTGCATTCCCCAATTCTACCTCCTTTCCTTTTTAAACACAGAAACCATGTCATAGAATCCTCTGGGTTGGAAAAGACTTTTAAGATCATCGAGTCCAACCATTACCTCTTCAAGGAGCATACTCCAGAAATGTACCAAATCAGCATATGCTGAGTTGATACCTCACTTTTGATCACAGAGTAAATTTGTAGCTCATTCTCTCCTCTGAGTTTGGTAGTAGTGCTATAGTTACTTGTCCTCAGTGAACTACACTGAAATCTGTTCAGTTCACTACAGTGTCACAAAAGGTGAGATCTGACTACCTGCAATTGAAGACATATCATTGCCAGCTTTCAGATTTCCACCTTTGAAATTCTTCTTGCCAGAGTAGATAAACCGTTGTTGATTTTCTTACAGCTGCTTCTACTTGTATTTTTGACAGAAAATGTAAACCAAGCTGGGTAATACCATTGCTCTATGTGCTGTCAGTTCTATGTCACTGCAGAATAATGGAGCACTGCAGAGGTGCTTGAGCTGTTGCCAACTGGAGATGGTGCTTTCCATTGTCCATGCACTGCTCTGACATCAGTGACAGTGTGTTAACATCACATTTCATTGTGTCTTTATGCCTCTCCTGCCTCCTGTTGAAGACAGTCTGGGGATTTCTGTACCACATCCTGTTGAGTGGGCTGGGCATTGTCTTTGTCGTTCAGGTAGCAGAGAGTGGCAGACCTGTGACATAATATGACTCAGAGCACTCTGATATACATGTCACTGGGAAAAATGAGAAGATTTTCTTAACATTGGGTGAATATACATCAGCTCTGCATTTGAGTGAACTATTTAAAGCTGGTTTATTGGTACATTCTTAAGAACTGGATTTTTTTAGTAATTCTAGAATATAACGTTTCTGTGATAAGGACTGATGCAAAAAATGAGATACTTTCCTTTAAACTAACATAGACATTTCAACATAAATATGGGTAGTAACGCTGGAAAATAATTTGCTTTTTTTTATAGGACCAGGTGTCCGATACAGTGAATTTGATGTGTTACATCCAAAACCACCTCCACTTGTTGGACAGCATACAGTGGAGATACTGAAGAGCATGCTGGGGTATGAGGATGATGCCATAGAAGAACTGCTCCGCACTGGTGCTGTGGCTCAGCATGAGGTCAGATAAGGAACATTAGCTACATTCCTTCACACTGAGTTCACATTACTTTGTCCTCTCTTTGCTCCCTTCAGTTTCCCTAATGGGACTCGAAGAGAAGACATAATTTAATTCCTAATTTTCTTTCACGTGTTTTTGTATGATTTTAACACTGATGTATCAAATAAACAATCTCATGCTGTCTGAGTGAAAGATTTTCTTGTGGGGGGTTGGGGGTAAATGTAATTATACAGTCCTGTGTGACTACTCATTTTCTGTACTTCATATGGAAAATGGAGTTCTTATCATAGTTACTGTAATTGCCTAAACATTTGTCCTGAGAAAGACATGATGTTAGTGAAAAGAAGCAGAACCTTTAAAATCTGTATACTAGACTCTGCACTCGCAGAAGGCTGCCTTATACAATTATTTTAGTAGAGAATCTTCTATTTACAAATTGGTCTCATTGATTTTGAACAGAATTATCAGTCATGAACTCTTTGTTCATTTCTATTTTAAATCAAGGGTAGAGTAACCATTGCAAAATTCACTTTTATTTCCTGGTATTCCAAATTACTAGTATGTCTTTATATTGCATTGCATAGTCATGACAATCCTAATATGTTAGCTGAAAGAAGCTGAAACTGGCACAGTTCTTCAGTTATGAAACAAGCCTATTCCAAGACCAGTTGAGAGACAAGCTGTGGTTGAATAGCCTTTTGTAATTTTATTTAGCAAGGCCCAGGGTACTCTTAATTAAATATTGATCCACAGAAAACCACATGCTGAATGTCAAATACCAGAACTTACCAGACATCTCAGTCTGGTTCTGTGGGTACTGTAGGTACTGATTCCTATCTCTGACTCCAGTTGCCTTCCAAAGCACCTTCATTACGGAGAAAACACAGGTTGAAATCTGTGAAAAACTTTTGACTCAGTCCCACCTTCATGATTAAAACATGGTGAGAGTTGACAGACCTTCCTCAAAGTTAGTAATATCATATCCTTCAGTAAGGTTGCTCTTGAGGGTAAGGCACTATGCAGTGGAAGAAGCTGGAAGAATTTGATCCATGAAACATATTAAGGAAAAGATTAAAGAGCCATTTCTTCTCTACAAACCAATCTGGCAGTTCTTCACTCACAGAAGACATCCCATTCTCCTCTATTACAGTATCTAATTTACAGATAAAGTAAACTCAGCATATGGAAAGGGTATAACCTTTGTTGTGTGCACCCTAGGAACAAGGCAAAGCCTTTCTATTCCTAGAATGAAATAAAACTAACTCAAATTGACACTCAACACATAATGTCCATGTTTCTCTCAAAGTATCGGAAACAGGCCTGGCATTGTAACTAGCTTGTCACTTTGTTTTCACTCTAACAAACAACATCCTCTGTATTACATTTGAACTTCACAACTCTGCATTACCTTCTGGGGGAAGAAAAAGAGGTTATTACATAATCAAATTGCAGTGGAACCCCACTGTGGCTGCTCATTTTTGAAGCCCAGTGTGTTTTGGTTCATTTGTTTGCTTGTTTTCTCTCGGTTTGTGTTCCTTCTTTTTTTTTCCCTCAGATCTTCTCCTGTTGTTTTTTTTTTTTTTCCTCTTGCACTGCATTCCTGGCACCAAACACCATACTCTGTCCATGTGCTAAAGACATCATGAGATCCTGGAAGAGTGACTTCTAAAATAAATATGGAAATAAGTCTGAATTGAGAATTGGGACACCATAAGGGAAGAATTGAAACTGGATTGGAAGAAGTTTTGATACAGTCCACCTTCCTTTTAATCTAAGGGGAACATCCCTTTTTCTGATGAGAAAAACAGCAATTTGAATTCAGCTTCACATAAAATGGATAACCTGATATTGAACTAAACTTTGTTTATTAATGAAAAACACTGTCAGATAACAGTAGAAATAAATTTGCTGGGTTGTTAAGGGTTCTTTTCTTCACATTTCTAAGAATCACATACATAAGATATAGTAAAATATTGCTCAGTTTTGTTCAATGATTTCTAAAAAAAATCAGTATTTTTCCTGTGTTTTTCCAAGCAATGGAAATAGCTAATCTTAGCTACAGTAAATTGGCAGAGCTGCTTTGACTTTAACATAACAATGCTGGTTTAAATAAGCTGAATATTGGGCTTTTAACTCCAAAAAGTATTTTGTGCAGGGCTCACATGCAAACAGTGTTTCCCTTTCTTCTTCTTTCTTTTTTTATTAGTGTTTTCCTCTTTGCTGTGTTGACAGTTAAATGTCTAAAGGGATAATCAGAGACATTATTTTGTCTCACCTCCAGTACCTATTGCAACAGGAGAAATCCAGATATCATTTCTCAGTGTTTTAGTCATACACACACACGGACTTACTCTTTAAGTCAGAAATAAGTGGAAGCCTTTAAACAGCTGGGAGTCTAGGTGCCTAAAAAGTCCTTTAGCTTCCAAGGTCTGATCATGAAGTTTTACCCTTTCACAAGGTTTGGTCCTTTGATTTTTGATGATTTGGAAGACAGTTAAATAATTGTTATGAAAATATTTAAGCTGTTATAGTATCCTTTTTCCTTTAAAAGTGAAGAAATAAATGCAGAAAAAGAATATTTAGAAAACTTAACTGCACTGTTCCTAAGATGCTTCACAAATATGTGTCTCTAGAGCTCAAATGCATTTTGACAGTCTTGTAATTTCATATGGTTTTCTCTTGTACTGCAAAACTGGAAATCAACTATCACACGGGATTCTGGAGCTCATAAACTGAGATCCCTCCACTTTCAAGGAAGGGATGTAGCTTGGGATGACTACACACAGCTGCCTCTGGCAATGAATATTTGTTTTTCACTGCTTAAAATGGAAAGGAATCCGCTGGTGCTGCCACGATGTGAGTGTGTGTGTGGTATTGGCTTTAATTTGACTTGATTTACACATCACTGTATTAAAAAAACAAAACACTACAAACCAAACCAAACAAATAACAACACAAAAGAGGGATACAGGACACACCTGTTTGTCTAGTTCAAAACTGAACTCACCTATAGCTGTTCGCCAGGAAGCTATAACTACCATTGAAAAAGGAGATTTCCATTTTGACATCTGTTCTGACTCCATGGTCCATGGCCCCTTTGGCTCCATTCTTTGCATTGGGGGATCCCATTGTTCTTACATTATCTTGACCATTAAAAATGTTTCATCAGCCTTCCTCATATAACTGTCTTCCTTTCTTTTCCATGCAAGCTAGTAAAGCTCTACATCAGGTATAAATCACTCAGAAAACTGCTAAATTAGTGGAGAGTCAGGTGGGTTTTGCATAGCCTGAGGATCTCACTGAGGGATATTTTAATGCCTCAGAAGAAAATTCCAATCAAACAATAGTCAAATGGACAGTAATGGAGTTTTCTTGCTCCTGCACAGATCTCTTTCCTGGTAACTCTTCCCCAGAGTCTTCCCAGGAAGTGCCAGCATGGTTGGCTGCAATGGGTACCCTAGAACTGACATTCAAAAGTAGGTTTTTTTTGGTTAGTGGCTGGGTGGAACGAGTTACTAACTCTCAGAAGTCCACCGGCCTCGGCAGTGATCCAGCTGATGTGCAAAGGCCAGTGAAGCCATAATCATGTGACGAATGATCTGTTGAAGGAGATCACTTAATTGTGCTGGAAGGCAAAAGCTCTTTTTCTTCTCAGGTCTATAAAATCAATAAGCAAAAGATATTTTGTCATTTTTATTTCTTTTTATATAAAAAAGCAGCGAAAGGGAAAATATCCCCATTCTTGACTTAAATACAAAATATAAAGGTCCTCTTTTTTAAGCTAATTGAAATAGAGGCTTTTGATACCTGATGATATTAATCAGAATTTTGGTCTTGGTTCTTCAGAGATTAAAGCTTGTCCAAAGATGTCTAATGACAATGTGCTAAGGCTAAAATAGCAGTCCGAAATAGTTCTTCCAGGGAGTGTGCATGCATAGTCAGAAACTGGGGACAGCATTTTCATTAAATTGCCATACAGCTCTGCCACTCAAAGAGCACTCAACCCTGGTGAACCTGGAGATAAAGGGCAGCTAGCCATCTCTATGATTAAAATGGTCTTGATTTCTTTTAGTATCTAGATGACAAGACATAGTTAATCCTTTGACCTTCCTAACATTATAGCACTGTATTAAAATGTATTTATTTCCCCAAAATGTACTAAAAAGTATTTAATTTCCAAAAGACAGAGGAAAGGTAAAGTACTTTCAGAGTTCAGGAATGCTGGCACAGCTGCTCACATTTCATGTCAGTGACATTAAACAGTGCCAGATACAGTACTTTTCTTAACTGCTTGTACATTGAGTTTAATGTGGCCTGGTGAAATGCTAAATGCTATTAGCTGGTGAAAAAAAAACCAACCAACCTTAGAGCAGTTCCTGCAGGATCAAGTAACCTCCCTACAGAGAGGGCTCCATGACACTGGCCAGTGTGATAAAAATACCCTGATAAAAAGTCATATAGTCACTTTTTTAAAGCTGACAACCCATCAGTTCAATTACTGTGTTTCTGTTGTGACTGGAATTTGAAACAGACTTGTGAGAAAAAGGCCTGGGATCACATATGCCAAGGACCCATGAAACTTAGGCAACAAGATCTCTTTTTTTGGCATTGGCTGTGTCAAACACTGAAGGGGGACCAAGTGAGGGTTAAGGTGGGGGGACAAGTTGTTAATTTTCAGGGTTTTTCCTATTCCCTAGAGCTACAGATAAAAGTGAATTAATAAGTACCATTTAGCCCTTAGTTAACAAGAAATTCTTAAAAAACATAGGGTGAAGAGTATGCTAAACTGCCTGCCTTAAAAGGCCTTCATCATGGTCTAATTTACAGTAAGCAGTATCACACTGCTTATTTATAAGGTACTCAGGAAAGCAAGCTGAAGGAGTTTACTTCAATGCCATTGCTTCTTTGCTTCATCTATTTCAATATTTGTCTAATAACTATCCCAAATTAGCCAAAAGAGCTTTAAAGTACAAAAATAAATTTGAAGATATGTAACCTGGTACAGGAATGCACATGTAGCTTACATCTTTGCAGATCCATATTAGGAGAAGGTAAAGTTTTACATTAAAAAGTTGTGTATAAAAATGCAGAGTAGTGTGTACATTTCCCACTGACACTCTCTTCTGGTGGATTGAGGCTCTGACTAAAGCAAATATGACAAAAATTACAGTTCTCTGTAAAAGTTTTTTTTCAAAACTTTTTCTCTCTCCCAAAGCCAGCAGTGAGGAATTTTAGCTGAAAGGTGG